GTCCGAGAATATTGCCTACTAGCATAAGCTAAAGTTAATGTTGGCCACAAAGTTTAAAGAAAGTAAAACTCACCTTCGTGTCAGACCCCATCTTAAACCTTTCTCCCGCTTGTTGGGCTTTGGATCGATGTTTATCATCGTTACCTTGGCCAAGCCCTGCAGCTCTGAGAGTAAAATGACATTTTCAACTGACTGAAGCGACCGAGCCGCGTTTCCCCAAACGGGAAGCTGACGCGCAAAAAGCCCAACGCCTTTTAATCTGAATAAATCAGCTTCCGTCTCATGTGCTAAAATGAACTGCTGCCCCCTGGCGGCCGCTCCAGACACTGTAGCACCTCAGATAAAAACTGGACCATGACATCATTTCCTGTTACGGATCATGTTGTTGACCAATCAGGAAGTTGGATTCGCTGTAGTGCTGTTGCTATGGTTACCATGGAGAGCTCGGTAGGCGGAGCCTAAGCAGGCAGAGTCCGACAGGTCGATGGTGTAAACCGGAGCGTTGAAGACGTCGGACAGAACCTGAACAGAACCAGAACCTCAGCGGTTAGAACCGGGTCCATCTGGATACCAGAACCTCCAGCAGAACCTGGAGAACCCACCTGCAGAATCTGCCTGTTGGCCGAAGCGCCACCGGTGGCCAGAACCCGAGTGCCGGACCCTGAAACACAAACAGAACAGTACCGGTTCTGGTTCTGATCAGGCCGGGACATCAGGAGACATGAGACAGAGACTCGTCCTACCGATGGAGTATCCGAGTCTCTCAGCGTGGAGCCGGCGGGACAGAAACTGTCCCTCCACCAGAGCCCGGACCTCCAGCTCTGGACTCCAGGAGGACACCTGGGGACAGGTGAGGGACAGGAGGACAGGTGAAGGACAGGAGGACAGGTGAGGGACAGCAGGGGGTGGGACTTCCTGTCTGACCTGGCGGTCGTTGGCATCAAAGCGATGCAGACCAACGGCGGGAGGCGTGATCTCCATGGTGTCAAAATAAAAGCCTGGAGGAACAGAGAGACATCAGAGAGGACAGCAGGGGGACACGAGGGGAGGACAGAGGGCGGCGTGTCCACCAATGTTGCCGTGGTTCCCCAGCGGTGTCCCGTCCAGCGCCTGGGAGAAAACGTCCCAGGACCCGGAGCAGCAGCGGTCCCGGACTCGTTCCCGGGTCAGAGAGCCATTCTTAAAGCTGGGGGACAGACACAGGCTTTTATTGTGAAGGGCCAGCGGGGGCAGCATCAGCCTGAGGACGCAGCCTACCACAGGAGAGCCATGAAGCCGTCGGGCTCCACCGGGTTGCAGAAGACGTGTCCCTCCAGGGACGGACGCGGCTCAGAGAGGGACAGGAAGAGCGTGTCGCTTGTCCCCAGACTGACCTGGAGAGAGAGAGGACTCAGAGACACGGAGGACGGAGACATGGAGGACAGCCTGGACTCACCGCGATGTCCCCTTGATGGAGACACATTCCTGCCAGAGACGCTGAGAAAGAGAAGGAGAAACGAAGACGTCAGCAGGAGGTTCTGTTCTGGAGATTCTGCTGAGTTCTCCGGTTCTCCAGCAGAACCAGAACCCTGCTGAACCCTCAAACATTATTCAGGTTTAGTTTTGCTCATTTTTTATATTTTAAATTAATCTGTAATGTTTCTTGTTCAGATTTAATTTCAGATTTTTGTTTTATTTTTCATTTCCAATAAAATATATTAAATCATTAAATTTCATAATTTCTTTGTGCAAGTTAGAAGAGATTAGAGCAGCGCCCCCTGCTGTTCCTAGCTGCCCCCTGCTGCCCCTGCAGCGCCCCCTGCTGTTCCTAGCTGCCCCCTGCTGTCCCTGCAGCGCCCCCTGCTGTTCCTAGCTGCCCCTGCAGCGCCCCCTGCTGTTCCTAGCTGCCCCCTGCTGACCTGCAGCGCCCCCTGCTGTTTCTGCGCTGCCCCCTGCTGTTCCTGCGCTG